ACACCTACCTTCACTGCTGCGGGCCCCTGCCGGCACCCCACCACCACTACGCACCTTCTACACAGAACTCCACCTCCTCCAAGTTCCGTAGAGTGATCCGCATGAGGCTGGAGTTGAGCATCAGCTCATTCTTGTGAGCTGGCCACAGGTAGGGAGGTGCAGGGTTCACAAAAAAGATCCTGGTGTCTCCAGTGGACACTTGATTGTCACAGATGAGGGGGTCTCCAAAACCGCTGATCACCACCTTGTTGCCACCGTCCAGCAGATTCTCTTGGGCCACGATATCTTTGCCTTTCAAGTACCGCCAGACCCGAACCTGGGGGCAGATGTGGGGGCAGGTGTCATTGTCCACCTCCTACTTGAGGAGGAGTGCCAGACTAGGGCCTGGGTCTTTCCCCATCGTCTGGCCTCAGTTGTTTGGGGCAAGTGTGCAGAGCAGAGCCCAGCCTTGGGCAGAGATGTGCACTTCTGTAGATTCCGTCGAAGCCCCTGGGAAGTGCGCACGCACTGGAGCCACCGTCCTGTGCCACACATGAGGTGTGCCCTCTGTGTGTCACCCCCAAGAAGCAGCGATTACCCCGGGGTCTAACCAACCGCAGCCACCTCAACTCTCAGTGCAGTCTGGGTTTGGGAAGGGAGCTGCCTGGCCTGGAATCCTGCCTTCTACCTTCCCCTTTACTCCAGCTGCCCACCACTACTCAGGCCAGGCAACAACCAGCCATCATGAGTGAAAGGCTTCAGGGCAGGCCCAGAGGATGGGCTGACAGACTCCCCCGGAAGGGCAGGCTCTCTGGGCTCCAGTGCTCAGTGAGTCCGTGCAGTGAAGGCCTGAGCCACAGAGTCAAGTCTGGGCAGAACAGGCAGCCCCACCCCTCTCTCTCCTCTTCTGGAGACCCCGAGGAGACTGGCTTTGCCCGCATCTCCCACCAGGCGCTCCCCAGAAGGGAGCCCTGGGAAGAGGCCCCTTCCTCTGGGGCTTCTGGGATGGAAGACAATGGGTGGCTTGTCCACCTGCACAGCCCCTGCCGGGAGCCCGGCCGAGGCATCCGCCGGCCCTGGCGCGGAAGGCGGCGCGGCCTCCCCGCGCGCCCGCCCCCCCTCCCCGCCACACCGCGGGGAGCCCCGCGGCCCGTCCGAGAGACCCGGGGCCCGCAGCTCCCGCCTCCCCCACCCCCGCCACACCCAGCAGCGGCGGGGAGGAAGTCGGGAAAACCCTGCAGAGACTTGGCCCGGTGCCCCGGAGCGCGGGGAGGGGGCCGCGGCCCAGCTGCGGCGCACACGGCGCCGCCCTCCCCGAGCGAGGGCGGCCCGGCTTGGGGAGGGGGCTGGGGGCGAGGCGCGGGCCAGCCCCGGCCCCCGGCGCCCCCGCAGGAACCGCGGGGCCCTAGCCTACCTGCTCCGCCCCGGCCCGAGCCCACGGAGCGAGGCGGGGCCGGCCTCGCGCCGCCCGCGGCCCGGTTCGCCCGGGGTCCGACCGCACCTGCCCGGCCCCGGCGGGCCGCCGCCCCGCCCACCTCCGCGCGGGCCCGCGCCGCGCCCCCGCCCGGGTCCCCGGCCCGCGGGCGCCGACCCCCCGCCCCGGCCGGCCCGGCCCCCGCCCGAGCCCCGGGGCCGCGCCCGCTCCCCCCGGCGGGCTGCGGCGGCCCCGGCCCCGGCCCCCGCCCCGCGGCGGCTCCGCGGGAACTTTCCTGCGGAGCTCGGAGTTTTCCGGAACCCCGCGCCCGTCCCGGGGCCCGGCGGCCGCCGAGGGAGCGGGACGGAGCGGCGGGCCCACCTTGCAGGAGTAGGTGTGCTGCACCGGGTCCACGTTGAGGATCTCCTCCACGGTGCCGGTGAGCACCACGTTCGCCTCCTCCTCGCGCCGCTCCAGCGCGCGCTCCGGGCACGTCCCGCCGGCGCGGGGCAGGGCGAGCGCGGCCACCACCGGGAGCAGCAGCAGCGACCGCAGCGGGGCCGGGCCGGACGCCCGCGGGCCGACCATGGCGCAGCCGCGCGCGGACGGGACTGGACCGGACGGGACGCGGCCCGGGCAGACGGTGGGAGGGGGCGGCGCGGGGGGCGGCGCGGGGCGGGGCTTGGCGGCGCCGCCTCCCCGGGGCCCCGCCCGACCCCGACCCGCGACCCGCGCCGGCCGCGAACAAAGCGCCGGGACTGCGGCGCCCGGCCGGGGGGGGGGGGGGGGGGGCCGGGCCGCGGGAGGGGGCGGGGCGGCCGGGGGCGAGGGGCGGCTCGGGGCCCCGCGCAGGGCGGGCCCGGGCCGCGGCTGCGGCGCCCTCCCGCGGACGGCCCCCCCGGAAATGCGGCTGAGGCCGGGTTAATGCATAACCTGGAGGCGACGTGACGGGACTGCCAAGGGGCCGGAGCCGCGGCGCGGCGCCCGGGCGCGGGGGGGCTGCGGGGGCCGGCACCGCCGCCCCGGGCGGAAAGGCGCCGCCACCCGCTGCGGACGGCGGGCTGGGCCCCACGCGGGGCCCCGGCGGGCCGAGTCCCGGGGACGGCGGACCGTGCCCGCTACCGTCGGGCCGAGCACGGTGACGAAGCCCGGCCGCCCCGCCCGCAGCTCTCCCGCAGCCCGCCCTCCATGCCCGCAGCCCGCCCTCCATGCCCGGCCCGGCCCACCCTCCATGCCCGGCCCGGCCCACCCTCCATGCCCGGCCCACCCTCCATGCCCGGCCCGGCCCACCCTCCATGCCCGGCCCGGCCCACCCTCCATGCCCGGCCCACCCTCCATGCCCGACCCGGCCCACCCTCCATGCCCGGCCCGGCCCGCCCTCCATGCCCGGCCCGCCCTCCATGCCCGCAGCCCGCCCTCCATGCCCGCAGCCCGCCCTCCATGCCCGCAGTCCGCCCTCCATGCCCGGCCCTGCCCGCCCTCCATGCCCGGCCCGCCCTCCATGCCCGGCCCGCCCTCCATGCCCGCAGCCCGCCCTCCATGCCCGGCCCGCCCTCCATGCCCGGCCCACCCTCCATGCCCGCAGCCCGCCCTCCATGCCCGGCCCGCCCTCCATGCCCGGCCCGCCCTCCATGCCCGGCCCTGTCCGCCCTCCATGCCCGCAGCCCGCCCTCCATGCCCGGCCCGCCCTCCATGCCCGCAGCCCGCCCTCCATGCCCGCAGCCCGCCCTCCATGCCCGCAGCCCGCCCTCCATGCCCGGCCCTGCCCGCCCTCCATGCCCGGCCCGGCCCGCCCTCCATGCCCGGCCCGCCCTCCATGCCCGGCCCGCCCTCCATGCCCGGCCCGGCCTCCATGCCCGGCCCGCCCTCCATGCCCGGCCCGGCCTCCACGCCCGCAGCCCGGCCCACCCTCCATGCCCGGCCCTGCCCTCCATTTCCGCAGCCCGCCCTCCACGCCCGGCCCGCCCTCCACGCCCGGCCCGGCCTCCACGCCCGGCCCGCCCTCCACGCCCGGCCCGGCCTCCACGCCCGCAGCCCGGCCCACCCTCCATGCCCGGCCCGCCCTCCATGCCCGCAGCCCGCCCTCCATGCCCGGCCCGGCCCACCCTCCATGCCCGCAGCCCCCCCCCCCATGCCCGCAGCCCGCCCTCCATGCCGGGTCCGCCCCTCACACCCGCCCGCCCCTCCGGGCCCGCCCGCAGCCCGCCCCTCACGCCCCGCCCGCCCCGCCGGGCCCGCCCGCAGCCCGCCCCTCACGCCCCGCCCGCCCCGCCGGGGCCGCCCGCAGCCCGCCCCTCACGCCCCGCCCGCCCCGCCGGGGCCGCCCGCAGCCCGCCCCTCACGCCCCGCCCGCCCCGCCGGGCCCGCCCGCAGCCCGCCCCTCACGCCCCGCCCGCCCCGCCGGGCCCGCCCGCAGCCCGCCCCTCACGCCCCGCCCGCCCCGCCGGGGCCGCCCGCAGCCCGCCCCTCACGCCCCGCCCGCCCCGCCGGGGCCGCCCGCAGCCCGCCCCTCACGCCCCCCCCCCCCCGCCCCGCCGGGCCCGCCCGCAGCCCGGCCCTCACGCCCCCCCCCCCTCCGCCCCGCCGGGGCCGCCCGCAGCCCGGCCCTCACGCCCCCCCCCCCCCCCCGCCCCGCCGGGGCCGCCCGCAGCCCGGCCCTCACGCCCCCCCCCCCCGCCCCGCCCCGCCGGGCCCGCCCGCAGCCCGGCCCTCACGGCCCCCCCCCCCCCCCCGCCCCGCCGGGCCCGCCCGCAGCCCGGCCCCCGCCGGCGGAGTCTGCCGCGCTCTCCACTCCAGACTGGCGTTCTCGCGCTGGGTACTGGGGCCGCCAAGCCGAGTCCGGAGGAGGTAAACTGAGGCCCAGAAGGCCCAAGACTGAGGGAGCGGGGCGGGACCGGGCACCGGCTCCGACGCGGGCCGGGCCTCGCGGAGGGCGCCGGCCGTCGGGCCTGCGAGCACCTGCGGGCGCCGCGCGCAGCACCCACAGTTCTGGGCCTCGGCCCAGCCGTCCCAGGGAGTGGGCTCTCGGAGCCACGGCCCGCCCGGTCTACTCGCAGGCAGCGGTCCCGGGAATACCCGGCACGACCCGGTGAAGCTCGTTCCAAATTCCGCTCCTTCTCCCCAGGCTCGACCTGTGGGCCCGCGGCCGCGGCTGCCCTCCAGGCCCACCCTCCAGGGATGCTCTTGCTGGAAGTCTTCCGGCCGCGCCCCTGCACCACCCCCAGGGGGGACACCGGCCTCCCTCGCCCTCCCAGCAAGCCCGAGGGACCCTCACTGCTTCTAGCAGTTCTAGGGATGTGGGACCTGGTGGGACCTGTCCCTCTGCGTCTGCTAGTCCAGATGTGATGGGGACCAGTTGCTGGAGTGCTACCTGTGACTTCACCTAGCTAGGAGGATCCCAAGAAGTGTGTCTCTTCTTTTCTCTAGAAATGAATCAGAGTGTGGGAAGAGGAGAGTCATTATGCGGACCCCACTAAGCTCTGTGAAACCCTTACCCTTGACTTGGCAACTCTGGCCTGGTAACTGCACCAAGATTCTCTCGTCTGACCTTACTATCGAGGAAGAGTGTGGAGAAGGCATTCCAGGGGGCGGACAGGGCAGACAGGAGTTTCTCTTTGCATTCTTTTATTACCAGTGCTGGATCCCTCCAGGCCCTGCTGCACCTCCCCGCAGACGCAAGTTCATGTACACGGTGCACTGGGGCTTGAGGCCATACTCTCCCAACAGGCGCTGGTCCTCCATGGGCTTCCCCTCAAAGCTCAGCCAGCACAGATCTTCCCGTGCTCCCTCTTGTTTGCACACTTGCTGCTTGAGTTGTGCCACACTCTGCGTCAGCTGGACCTCATAGATCCTGCTACAGCCCTTGTCATTCCTCACCAGGATGCTCAAGGGCTCACTGCAGTTCTTCACCATCAGCAGGACGGTGCTGCCAGGACCCAAGCCCTGGCTGATGAGAGAGCCTCTCTCCTGCAGCACAGTACCATCTGGGTGGGCCAGGTGCTGCTGGAAGGCAGGCACTCTGATCTTCTGAGTGATTTGCTGCTTCAATCCTAACAAGGTCATGTCGTCCCTCAGGGGTACCAGAAACTCCTCTCCCAGCATCTTCACTATTAGGTCCCCTCCCTGCAGGCATTACACAGGCTTAGAAATTCATTTGGCACCGGACGTAGCCACCAGCCCCCCCAAAGTACTGGCTACCTGGCCAGCTCCTGAGCCCCAAGGTACATAGCTCTCCAGGCCCTACGTCCCCCACCCCCAGGTACAAACCCAGTAACAGTGCATGGGAGGCACAGGGAGGGGAGGGGAGGGTAATTTCTAAAGGACCAACCACCCACCTCCCTTCAACATTGGGCCTAACCCCAAGGGTCCTAAGGACTCAGCAGATGCAGATGTGGAACCCAGTCCCTCCCCTAACACTGTGGATGGGCCATGCTCTGAGCAGCTCTGTTGGCCTGGACTGAGAGTGCTCTACCTCTGGAAGACCCCACCTAGGGAAGGAAGAATAGAGTGACCTAAAAAGGAGCCCACCTGCCCTGCCAGCAAGTTGTCCTTACCATGGCTTCAGGCTGTAGCTTTGTGTCACCAGCAGGCACTGCCAAGTTCACTGAGAGTTGGTTCCGAGGTACTGCAAGTTCGCTGCGATTCAGCTCCCAGGTATTGCAAGCTCCCAGCTGCTACTGTCAGCCGGGTGCCTGGGCTCAGCCCATTTAAGAATTTGAGCTGTCTACGTCACAGGGTGGAGTCTCCAGAAGCCTGCACTGACTTCGGTTTCAGTTTCCTTTTCCCAGGGCATTCCCTAAGTGAAAGATGAAACAAAACAGTGACAGATAATAAGGAAAGGGGGGGGGGCTTCCAGGCTATCTAGGAAACCTGGGACCAGGACAGCTTCTCGCCCCTCAAAGCACCATCAGGACTGTGCAGTCAGAAACCACCCAAATAGCCCCTCAGGGCCCTTACAAGATGAACACAAGTCCTTACATCAAGAATGAATTGAGGAAGTGGCGCTGTAGCTCAAGTGGTAGAGCGCTCGCCTTGAGTTGAAGAGCTGAGGGACAATGCCCAGGCCTAGAGTTCAAGCCCCACGACCGACAAAAAAAAAAAAAAACTATATAGAGCACTAAGAATGAATTGAAAGCTTTCATGTTACATTTGCCAGTTTGATGGAAAACATCATCATGATTAATCAATTCAGAAACATTATAGAACTGACCATCTAAACTGCCCAGAGACAGTCATCATTGCTTCAGGACGATACTTGTTCTGATTTTTTTCTTGGTTTGTTTGTTTTGGGTTTTGTAATTGTTATAGAAGCACCCTATACTCTAGAACACTTTATTAAGACCTTTTGCATAATTATATTAGAATTGAAGTATAGGGAAGATTGGAAGCAAAAGGGGGCTATATTTTTTTGGATTAATAAATGTATAAAGATGTGACAAAAGGCCTTACTGTTTGCACAGTTAGAGACATTGATTAAGCCAGGTTGTCTTTTTGTTGTTATTGCTGTTTTTTTGTTTTTGTTTTTTGGTACTGGTCCTGGGGTATGAACTCAGTGTTTGGGTGCTATTCTGAGCATTTTTGCTCAAGCCTCATACTCTACCACTTGAGCCACAGCTCCACTTCTGGCTTTTTAGTTAATGGAGGTAAGAGCCTCAGGGACTTTCTAAATCCCAAGCTGGCTTCAATCCACAATCCTCACATCTCAGCCTCCAATGTAGTTAGAACTGCAGACCAGAGCAACCCAGCTGTTTTGTTTTTTATTTGTAGCTCAGTTTGGTATTAAACACTTGTACCTCAGCCTTTGGAGCACTGGGATTGCAGATATTACTAACCATACCGGGTCTGGATTTAGCTGGGTTGTTTGTGGTTTTTGTTTTTTATCTGTCTGAGACTAGGACTTGCTTTCACTCATTGGCTGGTGCTCTACAACCTGAGCCAAGACTCCAACCCCTTGATTGTTTTTTGTTGTTGGGTTTTTTGGGGGGGATTGGGTGGAAGGGGGAGTCATTACAGGAGTTTCTCACACTTGCTAGGCAAGCATTCTACCACTTGAGCCATAATCTCAGCCCTTTTTGCTTTATTTATAATTATCTTCCTTAAAAACCCCAGAGCTCCTTTTGCTCATGGCTTGCACTCTACCACTAGAGCCACAGAAACACTTCCCGCTTTTTCTGTTATTAATTTGAGATAAGAGTCTCCTGGGCTTTCCTGCCCAGGCTGGCTTTGAACCACAATCCTCAGCTCTCAACCTTCTGGGTAGCTAGAATTACAGGTATGAGCCACCAGTGCCTGGGTCAGCAAGTGTTTTATTTTTTTTGGGTCTGGTCGTGGGGCCTGAACTCTGGGCCTGGGCGCTGTCCCTCAGCTCTTCAGCTCAAGGCTAGCGCTCTACCACTTGAGCCACAGCGCCACTTCCGGCTTTTTTCTTTTTGCTTATGTAGTGCTGAGGAATCGAACCCAGGGCCTCATGCATGCAAGGCAAGCGCTCTACCACTGAGCCACCTTCCCAGCCCAGCAAGTTGTTTTAATAATTGCATGTGTTTTCTACATTGTCCATGAAGGTTAAGAATACTTTAGTTAACTAATTATTGAATATGTAGGTAGTTAGATTTTTCCTATTGCACACAGTACATAACAAGCAAACTTACCTAAAATTACATAGCTGATAGAATATGTAACTTGCTTTTTTTCTCTGCTTGTCCTGGTGTTTGAACTTTGGGCCTGGGCGCTGTCCCTAAGCCTCTCGGTGCTCAAGGCTCTATCACTAGAGCCACAGCGCCACTTCCTACTTCTTCGGGGTTGTTTACTGAAGATAAGAGTATTAGAAGGCCTGCTCCAGTAGCTCCCGAGGGGAGGCTGGGATCTGAGCACTGAGGTTCAAAGCCAGCCTGGGCAGGAGTCTGTGAACACCCCCCACATTTCCCTCACCCCCCCTAGCTCCCACATTCCCCCCCACCCCCATACACCTCCTATACCCCCCAAACCTGTCCCCCCTCCACCACCCCCTACATACCCACCCCCACCTCCCTCCTCTGTTGTAGCAGCAAGGGCCTGACTGAGAGCCGGTGGGGGCGTGGCTGGAGGGGCGGGGCGGAACCCGGGCTGGGGGCGGGACTGGAGGCGCGGGGCGGAACCCGGCTGGGGGCGTGGCTGGAGGGGCGGGGCGGAACCCGGGCTGGGGGCGTGGCTGGAGGAGCGGGGCGGAACCCGGCTGGGGGCGTGGCTGGAGGGGCGGGCGGAACCCGGGCTGGGAGCGGGCGTGGCTGGAGGGGCGGGGCGGAACCCGGGCTGGGGGCGTGGCTGGAGGGGCGGGGCGGAACCCGGGCTGGGGGCGTGGCTGGAGGGGCGGGCGGAACCCGGGCTGGGAGCGGGCGGGGCTGGAGGGGCGGGGCGGAACCCGGGCTGGGAGCGGGGCTGGAGGGGCGGGCGGAACCCGGGCTGGGGGCGTGGCTGGAGGGGCGGGGCGGAACCCGGGCTGGGGGCGTGGCTGGAGGGGCGGGCGGAACCCGGGCTGGGAGCGGGGCTGGAGGGGCGGGCGGAACCCGGGCTGGGAGCGGGCGGGGCTGGAGGCAGGAGCGGGGAGACTAGGAAGGGGCGGGGCGGGAGGCCCGGGCTCCCATTGGCTGGCTGAGTGTGGGAACCTGCGCGGGGTGGGGTTCCCACTTCCTGCGGCCTGGCGGCCTTAAATAGCCTGAAGCTGCGCCCTGCGGGGGGGCGGGGGGACGGTGGGGACCGCTGCCTGGTGGGGCCGGCCTTTCGCCCGCCCCGAGGGCGCAGGGCCCTCCACAGGGACACCCGGGGAAGTCGAGCGCTCTTGCTGGAGCCCTGGAAAGCGCCAGCCAGCGGGCGGGCGGGGCGGGGCGGGGCGGGGCGGGTGGGGGAGGGCGGCCCGCGTGGAGGAGAGGCCCGGCGCGTCCGCGAGCCCTGCTGCGCCCCCCTGCGCCCCCTTACTGGGCCCCCCTGCTGGGCCCCCCTGCCGGGCCCCCCTGCGCCCCCTGCGCCCCCCTGAGTCCCCCTGCGGCCCCCTGCTGGGCCCCCCTGCGGCCCCCCTGCGCCCCCCTGCGGCCCCCTGCGCCCCCCTGCTGGGCCCCCCTGCGCCCCCCTGCGCCCCCTGCACCCCACCCGCCTGCGGCCCCCTGCGCCCCCTTGCTGGGCCCCCCTGCTGGGCCCCCCTGCGCCCCCTGCGCCCCCCTGCGCCCCCCTGCGCCCCCTGAGCCCCCCTGCGCCCCCTGCACCCCACCCTGGCGTCCAGCGTTGCAGCGCATGGCCACGGCGAACCCTCGGAAAACACGGAGAAAGCTGCCACGGGGTGGCTGTCCTTGGACTTGGGCAGGGCGCACAGTGGACATGGCTGAGGGCTGCAACCCCAGAAGATACCAGCCCAGAGGAGGACTCCTTACAAGATGGAAACATAGGGCCGCTCTTCCCCTAGCCACACGCACATTTCCATCGCTGAAGGTGGGACGGGAGGGCGGGCCTCGGACAAGCCCTGTGACTCACCATCACTGGTCCAGTATGGAGCCGCAGTGACCCGGGGTTCACGCTTCCCACAGCCGCATCTGTGGTTTTCTCAGATCTTTCTGGCACCTTGCCTGACCCAGCCCATCTGCGGAGGTCCCTGACACCGGTGGAAGAGAAGACCAGGGTTGGATGTCCAGAACCCTACACTTGGCTCTCCGCAGTGTCTGGCCAGGCACCCACAGGATGAGGCTGACACCTGAGCCAGTAGGAGGTCCGTCTCCGGTCTTGGTTGAGGGCAGACTGGGTCACGGCCCCCTAGAAGCTTGTCTCTGAGCCCCAGGCTGCATGAAGGAGGGCTCTCCCAGCTCTGCCTGACCCTCACTTGGAGTCCCCTACCACCTGGTGCCCTGGCCAGCACAGCGAGTGGGCTGGACACAGTGCAGCCCTGCACACACAGCTTCCAGTCCACACAGCTCATGAACTGGCCGTGGCTTATGCCAAGCACACTCACAAACCTGGCTAGCCTGAGCACCATCCCAGGATATCTCCAGGCCACAGCCACAGCCAGGGGCATATCATGACAATCCCAACCATGTTTCTTCCTTGGGATAGTGGAGAAGAGGACAGGCTATTAGTGGAAAGGAAGTCCAAAATGGGTATCCACTGGTGGTGTGTGAGCATCTGTCTCTGTCCGTGTCCACATCACGTGAGAGAGAAAGTTCTAGTATTGTGTCCCCAGCTTAGGTGAAGGAGGCAGCCCGTGACCAAGCTGGCCTGCTGCCTCCTGCAGCTATTATTCTTTTGTTTTGTTTTTGTTTTTTTGGTCGGTCGTGGGGCTTGAACTCTGGTCCTGGGTGCTGTCCCTCAGCTCTTCAGCTCAAGGCCAGCGCTCTACCGCTTGAGCCACAGCACCACTCTGCAGCTATTATTCTTTGGAGAGACCTTTTCACACAGAAGCTGGAGCTCAATGCTACCACACAGTAGAGGCAAGAGCACGTCCATGGCTTTAAACTCTCTTCACAATGCCTTTTCCTGCCTGATCGCAGACAAACATTCAGGAGATGGGGTGACACTTCTTCTGTGGCTACTCCCAGTCAGTGTTGGATACAGGGGACTTAACCCAGCTTGACACAAATGGTCATTCCCAAGGTAGATTCACAGGGATCTCCAGCCAGTGGATATACAAATGGTCATTCCCACCATGGCTCAAGCAGTCCTTCCTCTGATAC